TTTTCCACTCACTTGTTTAAAGCTCATTTTCCTCTTTAGATGAATGACATGTGTTTTGTTACTCAAGTGAGGTGAAGCTTTAAGACCTGAAGGTGGAGCTGATAAAATCCCTCCTATTACTGCCAGCACAGCTTCACATGTGGACATGACTCATATATGGAACAAAGAACACACACACCAGGACACTTTTTAGGCTCAATTTAATTTGATTGGTCCAACAGCGTCCCTACAGAGTTTTTACAGGCTCATATTTTAGTTTTCTCTCCACAGGAACTTGGGACACACAAACAAGCTCCAAAACCAGCACAGTGACAACCTCTGCTGACTTAAAGCAGAATAAGAGTGGTTCAAATGTGTCTTCCTGTAGAGCTCTCTGATGCTGACGACTCAGCTGACGACAGACTGTGGATACGTGGTACCGACGCACCAGAGACAAGTTCCACTGGTTCCACATATGATTCACTTATGACACAGTCCACCTACGCAGACAGCCAAGACACATTTCATTCATACCTTAACAACTCCACCCACCAAGACAGGGAGAAACAAACAGTAAAAAACTCATTTTCCTCTTTAGATGAGTGGCTTTAAGACCTGAAGGTGAAGCTCAAAGTTAAGCACAAAATGATCAAAACAAGTGGAGCAGATAGACGGAGGAATCTGTGAGGTCAGTAGTGTCGGGAGAGGAGGAGTGAAAATGTAAACCAAAGGAAACTAAAGTCACAACACAGAGGTATGTGGTGAGAGGAGACGTGCCCAAAGACTGGCTGCTGCTCTGGTTTATATGCATGAGACACATACCTGGCCCAGGTGTCTCATGCTGCTGATGACCCTCCAAACAGGTCTGTAGCCCTGGAGACAGAAAGCTCCACAGCAGCAAAGAGCACCAAGCAGAGGAGCCGTCACAAAACACAAGAGAGACATAAAGACAGAGAAGACGCATTAGACAGAGAAAAGTCAAACTTAGAGCTGAAATGAGTTTTAAACAGATTTTGCTGATTCTGTACATGTTCATGTTTTAGAAATAATGAATTTATGATCATTTCTATATAAGTCACTTTATTTATTATCTAATGTAAATATTAGTACCTCGTCATGGTGGTTCATCAGACTCAGTAGAAGAAGAGGAATTAGTCTGATCACTGACTGTAAGCGCCGTTTATCCATGATAAGTTTGTTTATTGTTGGATAGTATGACTTGCTACAATACAGAGTGAAATATATTTCAGTGTAATGTTGAAGAGGTTGTTAAATTTGTGATGTTACTTTGCTCCTGTATATTTTGACCTCTGTGAAGTTTTGTTTTTGGTCCTGTGCAGCTACCATACACATGTGACAAATGGACAGAAAGTGATACCACCCACTACTGGCTACTTTTTCAAACAAACAGCTCAAGCTCCTGCAACATCTGCTCTTCAAGGATCTTTTAATCAGGGTTCAGGACAATTTCCCTATAATGCTGGTGAGCATGGCAGTTTAATGAGTCTTTCTGAGAGCATTAAGTGTCCAATCTGAAATCTGTCAAAATACAGCAGCTGAAAACATTCATTGAACAGTGAATCAACACGTCGGATACTTGACAGAAAAACAGAAGCCTTCTAAAGAAATGATTAATTAAAACAAGACAAAATCAAAAGTGGAGTATAGGGCTACAGACAAGATGACGTGTACAGAAAACAATATAAAAAGAAGAGTTGCAATATTCCAGAAATACACTGCATCAACACAAGCTCAAAGAGTAAAAACAGTTATGCCACAGATTATGATGATCGTATGGAGAAAAAGGTGGCCAGCAAAGGAAAGACTTATTAAACCTTGCTGAAAGGGCTTATAAGAAATGTCAAAAAATTAAGGGTCATGGACAATGTTGTCAAAATGTTCAAAGAAGTCTACCAAAGTACTTGAATAGGTCTGTGCAATTTGTCAGTGACTCCTTTTTGCATTGTAAAAAAAAAAAAAAAAACCCAGGCAAAAAAAAAAAAGTCCAAACTTCTTTCCCTTGCCATGGTCGACACAGCTAATACTTGCTATAATCATTGTAGTGAGACATCTGTTAAGAATGTTAATCTTCATAACGGACCTAAAGTTACAATTTGGATTTGCTGTACCTGCCATAGAAGATGATTTATGGTAAACTCCTGTGCAAAGAGCTGCAAACAGTTTACATCTGGAAAGAATCCTCCCATAACTGAACATCTTGAACACACTGAAACAAAATTTGATTGCAAAACACATTCCATTCATAAAGTTACTTGCTTTGCCTAAAGGTGGACAAATGGAGTGTTGGGCCAATTGTTTGCATGCTATCACATTTTGTAGAAAATTACAATGTACATCAAAGAACAGATGATCATCTGTGGAGAAACTGACAGGATGCACGTATTTCAATACACACATTGTTATTGCTGAAGGTAGGTTTGCAAGAAATCTGGGTTACATTTTCTTTGCAAAGTATCTATCTTTCATTAACCAAGTTAAATTTGATGAGTCAGTTGCTTTGAGAAAGTGATACAGTTCAACCCATCATGCTAGCATCACGTCAGAGATGTTGACAAACCAGGATTCTCTTTAGAAAATTATTCAGTTTAATGATGAACAAAAGTTACTCAAACTTATCCATGGTACACTAATATTTTGGCAAAGTGTTCAGAAAGCTGTTTGCTACAGTCAGACAAATTTGAATTCCAACATGGTTTTTCCCCTTTCTGCTGATCTGAGAAGGAAATAAGTTACTGACAGTCTCCTTAAGCAAGAAGGCATGAGTAGCAATTTTGATAATTCAAACTGGGCTGATGTGGTCTCTTTAAGAGAAATCTTGTTACAGCTGCTCAAACGGTCTATCATCACTTCCCTGTCTTTCTTAAAGAAATCATAATGTCAACAGCCGGTGGAATTTCTAGCCTGTGGTCCACCTCTTAAATGCTACTTAAAGTGACGAAAGTGATGATGATGTTTTAGCAGAGTTTGTGGACCAATATGTGACTAGTCTCGCCACCAGACAATCAGAGATCTCCGGCTTCTGATAGTCTGGGGAAACTCCTTTCTAAAGTATGTTTAACACACCGGTGAAAACGGCCGGCAACAAAGCAACGCCTCTTGCATTTTTGAAAAGGACACGCCCTCCCGGAAATGTGCGCTCCCCCTTTTCTCGTCCGCAAGGAAACAAACACACAGAGAGCCTGAAAATGGATGCCGAGAGATTTAACTCCGTTTTATCAAACATGTGCTCAGTCCACAAGATCAAGTTTACTGATAGAGTTTTAAAAAAAAAACATTTTTAAACCACAACAGGTTTTAAAGAAACTCACAAAAACAGCATTTCCTCTTCTACTTCCTGTCACTGCAGCTCATCTGTGTCCACAATCACAAATACTTTATTGTTATTATTACTTTAAACTGGCTCACATCACAGCTGTTCTTATATAGAAGCATAGAGAAAGAAGAAGTGTTGATAAAGTCTGTGCAGAAAATTCACTTTCTTTCCTCACTGACTGTATTTGAACCATGTTTTTGTGAGTGTGCAGTTCTTCAGCAGAAACAGGAAGTAACTGATGGTCCTTCGTTTTTAAACTGTAAAGTTTGTTAAGTTTGTCCACTTGTTTGTTACAGCTGAGTAAAGCAGCACAGGCAGGGAGGACCCACATGCAGGACAGCAGGTGGATTCAGAAAAGATACTTTCATTGAGGAAAACAGGCTTACAGGCAGATGAGATGAAAACCAGGCAGTCAGGCAAGAAGGAAAAACCAAGAACGCAGGGAAACCACAAGAAAACATGAGCAGATGATCCTACAACCAGCTGCTGACAATGGCAGGTTATATACTGACTAGGATGATGAGGTCACTGAGAACAGGTGTGTGAGTGGGGACGGAAGCCCAGGTGATTGCAAATGTTCAACAGGTGAGGATATGGGGCCAGGAAGAAAGTCTGGGGACATCTGGTGGCTGGATGTAAAATGGCAGGTCTGTGGAATTAAACTGACAAACATGGTCAGGGAGAATAAGCAGGACAGGGGTGGAGGGGAACAGAAGAGCAGACCGTGACATTGTTGTTGATCATCCCAGGTTTCATTTGGATTATCATCTTGTTCCTGCTCGTCATCAGAGGAAGAAATCTCAAATTTTTGTAAATAAGGGCAGGACTATAACCCAATAGACTGGGTACTACTGACATTAGAACCCCTTCTTTTGTGCCTATTCCACTACACAGCCTGATACACACCCCCATAGGCTGCGATAATAAAATGTGTTTTCATTCCTTCTACAGCAGAAGATCTATACAATCAGCACAGTTTCAAGATTAGAGTCACCAATTCAGTATCTGACCAAATGTCTCCCCTGAGCACCACACAGTGTGGGGACCCTATTGAAACTGAAGGAATTATTATTAACATATGAATTCTTAAGTTATGGCCCAAACAATGTTTTGTGAGGGCACAGTGACCTTGACCTTTGACCCTCAACCTCAAAAATGTCATCAGTTTTTTCCTCAGTTCAAGTGGATATATGTACCAAATTTAAAGACATTCCATTATGGAAGGGGCTGACTTACATTTAGACTTACATATAGATGAATAGACATGCATACAGACAGACGATCAGAAAACATAATGCCTCCAGCCATGGCTATAGTCAGTACAGAGGCATACAAATATCCCATTATCAGCCAATAATTTACTGGTCTGATATATATTGTGCATCCCTAATTTTCTGAACAAGCTCTAAACACACAGAATGTAATTTCTGCTATTTCTTAATCAAAACCATAACAACAAAGAGACTCTGGTGACATCGTGAGCTAGCATGGGATCATTCATCCAAGATGAAAGTCTGTCTGACGTGACTCAGGTTAACTTCTGTAAGCCTCAATAAAATCAGTTTTATACTCATGCAGTCATCAGTCAACAATCAGAACAGGTGTGTGTAGAGAAAATGTTTAACTGAAGAGGTGAAGACTGGTTCTACGAGGCAACTCTAAGATGAAAGAATATAAATGTATGTGAGGAAGAACAATGCTGAAAATAAACTTCTCTGGATCAATAACAGTTCAGACATGAATTAGTAACATAATAATGCTAATAACAGCTCACCTCTTTGCAGCAGAGTGTTGTGGTCTTTTAACATCAATGAGACGACCATTAGACCGCTCACTCTTCATGGACATACAGCTGGGTTCAGGTTCTTCCAGCTTCCTCCAATTTCTCTTCCTGACACGGGGAACATAGCACTATGCTTGGAATTCCTCCATCACACTACTTTCACAGCCTTCTTACAAAAAATAACCACCTGTGTTGCTGTCCTTGAAATTCTACATGTAGGCAATAACTCATCACAGACACATGAGATTATACTACATGAACGCAAATGTCAGCAGGAATGGGGATTTTTGTCCCTGAACTGCTGATATACAGGTTTGTGAGCCTGACAAGTTGTCCCGGAGAAATGTGTCCAGCGTATTGAAGGAAGTATTATATGACTTCAAAATGTCTGTGTTTCTTGCTAATGTTACATGACACACACAAGTAAATGTGCTGACATCATGATTGATCATCTCTGCAAAATATTTAATAAATGGCTCACATTTTTCCTCCTTCAGGGAAAAAAAACCTTTGAAAAAACACTGATTAATTTCCACAGCTTCCTTATTCACAGTGTAAATACAGTGTACATGAAGTATGACTTTGTTATCAAATCAGCACTGAACATACACAGGTTCTAATTTCACTGTAAAAATAGCCAAACAGCTTTTAAGAAATGTCAAAGGAACAAAAAGGGTTAACTTAAATGACTAAACTTTTGAATTTCATTCTGTCTAACAAGTGACCTTCAAAGGGCTGCTGCCATGCCTCAGAGCAGGCTGTTGGTACTGAAGCCTGTAACACAGATCCTAAATATCACTACAGTGTCATGTATGGCAAGTTAGGGCTCTTGTAGAAGCATAAATCAAAGGTCTGGAGCTGGGCCAGAAAGCTCGTGACCTTGTTCCCATCTTCTCGAATGGACTTTCTTTGTTTTCCATTAAATATCAAAAACTCAAATACTCAGAGGTAAAAAATCACTGGAGACACGTAGAATCAGATGCAACTGAGTTTAATGTGCTCGCAGGCAACAAACACATCACAACTCAATGAGTCAAGCTCCGGAGCAAGACTGAAATTTCTTTGTTTGCGCACTCGTTTTTATTGTGAAGATTTTCTGCTGAGTTGTCTTTTTTCCTTAATCCTTCCCCCCTGGAGCTGAAACATAGCGGTGTCACATTTCTCTTGTCTCCCCCTGATGGCTGCTTTAATCCTTGCACTCATTCATAATAGTATTCCCCACTCTCCTTTTCTCCCTTGGAGCCAGTTCCACCGTATAATGTTTTTCTGGGCAGTCTAAGACCTGCCTCCTCTAGGGTCATATCAGGACAAGCTGTAATTTCCCTAACTTTCCACCAGGGTTTCTGAGCCCATCCTCATGCTATTTTTAATCCTAGGTACTTTTCCACCACAATGCTTAAGTGCTGAGTGAGTGTATGTGTGTCCTAAGAATACATGAAATAATAACCCAGTGTATGATTTGTCAGCAAAACAGGTGAGTGTATGTGTGTCATAAGAATACATGAAATAATAAACTAGTGTGTGTCTTGTCAGTGCACAGAGTACATTGCTTCAACACGTATCT